GGTTGACATACCGTTAGAGCCCTCAACGGTATACGAGATATCACTGAAGTTGTCTTTAGAGGAATATCTGTGTCTTATTGGCAGTGTTGTGAGTCTATGGTTTGGTTTCTCCCTGATCATATTCACCGAGTTTTGTCAACAAATGTTTGTGAAGATTAAGTCATTTAAGTTTGTGACTAATTATAGTAATTATTTTGGGAGCAATAATAAGTTCATTTTCACAGTGAAGCCTATTAAAATGACCTCGATTAAAAATAAAATGCTGTTTAACCATGCTAAATATTAAAATACAGTATACTTAAAAAAATTGTAATTATTTTTAATGTACTGTACTGTTCAAATTTAATCTACTTAAAATATTATTATTTTCATTCATATTAGCATTCCTTTTATTATATCATAGAATAACTATTATCTATGAGTAGGGCTGCCAAACGTCCTCCTTTAGGAGGATTGTCCTCCAATCGGCCCCTCAAAACAGTCCTCCCGACTGTCTCAGGAGGAGAATGTAATGTCCTCCCAGAAGTAATTTTAAAAATAATGTAAATATTCATTTAATTTTCAATTACTTTGCGAAGTTCATGAAAATAACTTGCTAGTTTGTAGTCATTCTTTAGTTTATGAAATAATTGTTAGGATGGCAACAAGTAGTGTATTAGAATGTAATTGTATTTAGACTTAAGTTATGTGTGGCCATTTGGAATAAAAATATATAGCAATATTAATAATTAAACATTTTTATAATTTGTCTCCTCCTAATGTCCTCCTGGACAGGCTCAATTTTGACTACTTGTCATGGAAATAGTTGGCAGCCCTATCTATGAGATTAAAAATTTTATATTATAATACCAGTTCTGTAATAAAAATATGTATTGCAATATGTGTAATACCCTTTTTGACGTCCTATAGTGCGCCCCCACCGCATAGTGCGCTTTCATTTTTTACAAAAATGTATGTTTTTACTCAGATAGTGCGCGCCCTACGTATAGTGCGCCCATATTATAACATGAATTTATGAACCCAGGTATAAATTAATTGAATTTAAATAACATTAACACAACTGATCATCTGAGATTTCTAGGCATAAGTTTAACATAAGGTGTTGATAAGATAAAAATTAAAAATTTTAAAATTTCATACAAATTTGATTTAGTGATAAATATTTGCCACATTTATATTAGTATATATTCAATTGAAAATCTCTTTTGGTTATTAGTTTAAATTAAGAGTTATTTAGTTATAAAATAATTTGATGTGAAGTTAAATTACATTTATTTGTTTTAGTGAAATAACACTTAAATTAATATAATATTATTAGTGATAAGTGTTGACTGTGTTTGTGCTATTAGTGATTGAATTAAGTTAGTTTATAAGATTTTGAAGGTTTTGATTTATAATTGATTTCCACTTAATTTGAAATTATTTATTATTAGTGATAAGTGTTGACTGTGTTTGTGCTATTAGTGATTGAATTAAGTTAGTTTATAAGATTTTGAAGGTTTTGATTTATAATTAATTTCCACTTAATTTGAAATTATGATAAATATTTTTTGAAAATTATTTACTATAATTTTCTCAGATAATGCGCACCCTACGTATAGTGCGCCCCTCTACTTTTTCCCAAAAAATCACTTTTTTTCTCAGATAGTGCGCGCACTATAGGGCGTCAAACAGGGTACTCTAAACTTTATTCTAATCTCTAATTCTACAACAAATATCGTCAAAACTTTGAAACAAGATTCTTTATTGTATTTTTATTGTCGCCATAATTAACTCTAAATTTGAAATATTCCGGATATAACTCTGTCCATCAGGTGCTATTAAGATACCAATATAATTTATTTTACTGTTAATTTATAATTAAGTTTTAAAATCAATTGAACAACTTTTAATATGTCATAATTTTATATAATGTTACAATAATTAAAGTTTTACATAAATTACAATTTATTGATTTATAGAATTATCAAAATATTAGACTATTTATTGATTACTAAATATAGTGTAAAGATAAAATATAGTTTATCTAGCTTTGAATGAATATCTCATTAAATAGTGGCCCATACAGGTGTATATAAGTTTTCATATCATTTCGATGCAAATCTCTAAATGAGATTAATTCAAACAATGAAATCATGAGCGCCTGTAGCTTTGATTGCGATTCCACATCCGATCCACATTTTAATAATAGATACCTCTGTAGTAAATATATGTATAGTTGCTGTTCAAGCCTAATAATCAATATAAATTTAGTTACAATTATTATTATATGCACAAACAAAAAAGTACGATATTATTAATAAGCAAAAATAAAAGTTAAGATTAACTTACTTAACACTAGTCCTATGAGTTATTTTTGGTATGTTTGGATTGAATATGATAATAGCTGTTAACTATAAATGGAAATAATCAATTTAATATTAATATACACTGTATTTATTACAACTAATTTAACTATATACTGTACCAGCTCCATTATAACAGAATCGCGTTGCCATACAGCCAACAGTCGGTCCACAATGGGTTTGGTTTTATTAAAAATGTCTGTCTTTTCCCTTTTTATTACTTCTACGGGAATACACAATGTTTTCTCATTGTCCTATTAATCAAATATTTTGAAATGTATTAAACAAACAATTATATAAATTTTCAAATAACTCACAATTGGAAACAAATAGTTTTGAAAATCATGATCAATATAATTCAAACATCTTAATAACATAATATCAATGCATCCAGACTTCACGAGTGAAAACTGATCGTTTTTGCAGATATTTCTGAAGCTATTTAGACTTTTTATAAAGGTAACCATATCATTTGCATACATATCAGTTCCCGGCGCTGTTAAACGATAAAATAAGTCATAATCTGTTATTTCGGTTATGTTTGACGAAAACGGATAGTTTATAACATCGGATGCGCTCAACAACTCGGATATCCGGTTGGACTCCAAGTGATTGAATCCGTTATAGTCTGTGATCTCTTTGAATACAGGCATCACTGTTAAAGATTTTGCACTTTGTTTTACATTTTCTACGTTTTCCTCATTTGTGACATAACTTTCAATTTCCATAATCTGTTCACTGAGTGCTTCATCGCTGATATTAAGCGAGTCTCCGATCAATGCCTCGATTTCTTGAGCGTATGTCTCATCAGAAAGTTTGGTCTCATTTGATGAATCGTCGACTGAGTTGTCGACTGAATTTTGTCGTGATTTTTGTTTATTTTCATTAATTAATTGCTTTCTTAACTCATTTACCTCCACATTGCGTATAAATTCCTATTTAAATGCATAGAGTTTTATAACTTATTTATGTATTCATAATGAACAATAAAGTAATTTACTTTTTTCATTCCCACTTCAAAACACTTATTTAGTCTACATTTTTGACATAATTTTCTCGTTGTTGTGGTTATATCGCAGTTGCCATCAGATGGACATATGAATGGCTATAAAAGTGTATAATTTATACCTATAATCCATGTTATTGTTATAATTATTTAGTATTAAACCTTATTTTTAAGTGCAGTCCTCCNCCATGTTATTGTTATAATTATTTAGTATTAAACCTTATTTTTAAGTGCAGTCCTCCGGAAAAATGATTTACACGAATCGCAAGTAATGGCACCAAAATTTCTCCCTGATAATACAATATTATTTAATGATATTTATTTTTTAAAACAATCTAGTCATTTATATTAGCGTGTAGGTGTATATTTATAATTTCTGTACATAATAATAAATTGCGTAAAATAAATATGATTTACCAATTGTTTTGTATCCACCACAAATCATACAAACTTTATCAACAATCTTATTATTCATGTTGTATTGAAAATATTTTGAACTATTCTTGCACACAAAATAGATAATATCTGTATGATAACAATATTATTTACCAAACATGAATTGTTCCCAATATATCAGTTCAAATACAAGCAATATTAGGCAAAATAATCAATTCAATTTATTACTAAGATCATAGTGGCGTCAAATAGTTTCCCAGTACTGTATAGGGTTTATGTAATTATTATCACAAAATCAAAACTTAATTGCTTTTTATCACCTTTTAATGACTGCTGTAAATATGATGCAAACGAGTGTCAATAGAAACATCTATTATAGAAAGTCAGCGAATAATTGTAATATAGCTAATTCCATAACCTTGATTCTTTATCAAGTTCTCTGTGTGCTTGAAATAATTATTTTGCACTGTACTGCACTCTAAAAGTTCAAAATCTTACAACAAATATCGTTTATTTATTTGAAATCAGGATTCTTTATATTATTTTGACAATCATTTGACTATAAATATCTCTAAAATTATAACAAAATTAATTTTAAAAATAAATATAAACACATTATAAATTAAAATAAATATCAAGTATAATGAATTAACAGGAATATACTATAGTATGATAATTAATTATATTATTAATTAATTAATTATAATTATTAATTATATTATGATGATTTATATAATTCATCTATATTAGTTATTTGAGGTGGACACTTTTTATTTTTACATTCATACTTTCGCTTGATGTCCCCCAATGCCTCCAATTCATTCAGATTATCCATGAATTTACAGAACTTTTGTTGAGCTTCCGATTCTGACTGATGTTTCAATAGTAGGTAGCGTTGCAGTAAATACATGTAAATATATTGCTGAAGCCTTTTGTAATAAGATATTTAAATAGTTCATCAAATATGAGAAAATACATTATTAAGATTTAATACTTTCTACACTTACTTAACAATTTCTCTGTAATTAAGTTTGGGTCGATTGGGATTAAAGAATACGATTGCTGTTAGCTATTGAATAATAAAATGAAATTATTATTTAATATGCTACAATTAACTTATACATGATACTATTATACTTACTAAGTCCAGTACAACCTGATCCCTGTCCCATTCAGCATCTAATGTATCAATAAATGCCTTCATCCGTGGATAGTATTCCTTTCGATGGCTAAATATTTGTAATCTCATGATAATTGAAGTTTGATGGTGCTATTATACAAATAAAAAGTAAACTAACATCAAAATACTGGTGATCGCTAACAAGAAGTATGATTATTTAGCTAGCTTGTAAGTATCTAATAAGTATTTAATAAGTAGCTCAACTGTAACGTTTTTATAGCCGCCGCTCAGTACACTTATGGGGCTTGGATATGTTATAGAGTACATGTCCCTGATAACATACAACTAAAATTTATCGGCCAAATCCGGTTATTTGGTGTCCATTTCTGGCCGCAAAAAACGTACCGAAAGCTTACAATTTCATCACAAATAATGCATTTAATGAGTGAATAAAAAGTGTTTGAAATTTTGATTCATTTTTTTGTGAATCATTTTTATCGCTAATCTCTTTTAATCTCTTTTTCACAATTTTTGTTCAAAAAATATATTCATCGATTAAATTCAAAATTTAAAAGATAAAATGAATATTTCTACATTTTATTCATACAACTATTTATTTAAAATATTATTTGCTGATAATTAACTCTAATAAACTACCCTGCGTCATATTTATGTGTAATTAAAAGTATTTTGCATGAATAAAATGTAGAAATATTCATTTTATCTTTTAAATTTTGAATTTAATCGATGAATATATTTTTTGAACAAAAATTGTGAAAAAGAGATTAAAAGAGATTAGCGATAAAAATGATTCACAAAAAAATGAATCAAATTTTCAAACACTTTTTATTCACTCATTAAATGTATTATTTGTGATGAAATTGTAAGCTTTCGGTACGTTTTTTGCGGCCAGAAATGGACACCAAATAACCGGATTTGGCTGATAAATTTTAGTTGAATGTTATCAGGGACATGTACTCTATAACATATCCAAACCCCATAAGTGTACTGAGCGGCGGTTATAAAAAGGTTACAGTTAAGTTATTTGTAGTAAATTAAGTGCACAAATGAATGCTTTTAAGCATATATTGATATTTGTATTACAAATTAGTAATACTGTTAATTATTATGGTGTGGGCTATTTGAATGGCATGATTGGGAGTGTCAGGGTATGGCACCTAATAAATCAAACACCACTTAAACTACTATTTGTTAAGAAAATAAATAAAATAATCTTGATAAACAAATTGCTAGGCAAATAAAAACTAGATTTTCATATAAATATAGTCCGCAAATATGTGTCCGACCAAAATGTAACATAAAGTCCTGACAATCAACAGTCGATTCATTGATTTATTGATTGATTGATAGTTTATTTGCAATAAAAAAGTTTTCTGCAAAATGTTTGATAAAAAAGTTTTAAAAATGTGATATTTTAAAGGACATTGAGATTGAAAACAGATTTTTAGCACTACATGTATATG